ATAGGCCCTTACATGTTCTTATTTGAACTTTTTTCCCCTGAAAAGTGGTCTTTCAAGTTGAAAAGAACGACCTTTGTTTTCAAAAAATTCATCCCCCTCTTTGCTAACCTGTATACCCTCATATTTCCAAAAAAGTGCTAAGAAGGGATAAATACCTGCTTACTTTCTGGCGAGATGCATACTTGTCATCAGTTGTCACTTCCATCGCTAAATTCAAACGAATGTCTTCTTTGTGACTGATTTGTTTATCTTAATGATTTGTGTCCGTATTGCAGGCTGTTTTCAAGCAATTTGGTGGAGGATATAACTCAGATAATTTGGTCACAGATGAGGCAGAGCTTCATCAGCATCAGAAACTTGAAAAGCTTTACATATCAACACGAGCTGCTAAGGTTACCTGATTTTCCTTGGATATATCATATATCTAATTTTTCCTTGTTAAAATTTCTTCTTACTATAATATTATCACGTTTCAGCATTTTCAAAGAGATATTGTGCGTGGAGTTGAAGGTTATATTGTAACAGGATCGAAGCAAGTTGAAATTGGTAATTTTCTACCCATATATAATCAGTCTGTAATCCCTCATCACTTAGAAAGCAATATAGTTGATTTCTTATGTTCATTAGTCTTTGTGTGCCACTTGTTTATTAGGAACAAAGTTGTCTGAGGATAGCAGGAAGTATGGTGGTGAAAATACATGCACTAGTGGTAGCACATTGTCCAAAGCAGCTGTTAGTTTTTCCCGAGCTCGTGCACAGATGGAGAAGGAGCGTGGAAATTTATTAAAAGCACTGGGTACACAGGTCTGACCTTCTCTGTTTTAATAATCATTGTCTCAATGTTTTTCAACAGTGAGGGAGAATTTTAACAATGATTTACTGAAAAGAGTTGGCTATAATTTAATATTTCCTAGTATGGACTATACCTTACCTTGATAACTGAGAACCATAAGAAGGTTGACGATGAATGCAGATGGATGCTATATAAGTAATCCTTTCATCGACAATTAGACTATAGCGCTATTGTTCAGTTCAGGTAGCATTACTCATCTATGTTATGGACTGGGGTAGGAGTGTTGGATACGGGTATAAATCCTGGTGTCCGTTACGGCAATTCTAAAATTGGGAACATGAGGACTTTACCTGGGATCTGGACACAGGTATGAGACGCGGCATGAGTGTGTATTGATAATATTTTATTGGACATGCATAAAGTCTATATATTGTTTGAACTTTGAAATATAGTTTTAAATATACAAATTTATTTATTTTACTGGTTTACAGCATAATTTGTTTGAAAAGAGTGTAAAATAAACTCTTTTTTTTCTAATTATACTTATATAGATGGCCTAGGTGCTATATTAAATAGAAGCTTAAATTTATATACGTAGTATTGTTTTACAAAAAAAATAAAAAAAAGGAGCAAGTGAAGGCAAGTAGATAAATTTAAAGTGTCTAGGTGCCCTTATACTCTGCCAAAACATTAAAACTCTGTTTGGAGCCTTCCTCTCTTAACTTCCCACCTAAAGAAGTGTCTCACCATCAAGAAAAAAAAGAAGAATATTTAAAAAAAAGTGTCTCACCAATTTCCCATAACTGATTAAGTGCTTTAGCTGTTTTTAAAAAGTGTATTTGTTCCTTATATAATTGTCTTCTAATAGTACACTATATCTATTTCCATAAGATATTTATTAAGTTCTTTGATTACTAGGTAGCGGAGCCCTTAAGAGCAATGGTTATGGGAGCTCCCTTAGAAGATGCTCGACATCTTGCTCAGCGATATGACCGAATGCGACAAGAAGCTGAAGCTCAGGTATTACAAATAATTACACTATTATCTTAGAATTTAGAGCTTGGAAGAATATGTTGTTGTAAACTTAAAGATTCATATGCAAAGTCTGTGATTTGAATCTCATCTAACTTGAACCTAGACAGGCAATTGAAGTTTCTAAACGCCAGGCAAAAGTTAGAGAAGCATCAGGGAATCCAGAAATCGTTATGAAGTTAGAAGCTGCTGAGTCTAAGCTTCACGACTTGAAATCTAATATGGGGATATTGGGAAAGGAAGCTGCATCTGCAATGGCTGCTGTTGAGGGTCAACAACAGAGATTGACTCTTCAACGACTCATAGCCATGGTAATAAGGAATTCTCTTTCTAACTGGACTCAAATAAATTTTATACAGTACATATGTCATAAGGCTGAACCATAAGGTTTTTTTTTCTCTTCCCTGTCCACAATATATAAGGTGGAAGCAGAGCGTGCCTACCATCAAAGAGCACTCCAGATACTTGAACAGCTTGAAGGCGAGGTATCCTCAATTCATCTTAGTTTCTGTATATGGAGTATTATTTATGTTGCTGTTGAGTCTGCAATCTTTTTCATTTTGCTTTCGAAGTGGTCAAGCTTTAGTTTGTGGTGATGTATAGATGATATCAGAGCGACAACGTATAGAAGCTGCCCCCAGCCCAAGTATTGAGAACAATGTATCACCACCCCCAGCATATGAAGAAGTTAATGGTGGGTTTGCGTCTCAGGCTCAGAATGGTACAACTGACAGCATGGGTTATTTCCTAGGAGAGGTTAGTGACTATTGGCCTTGTGTTCTATTATGTAGTGAAAGCATGGCTTAGAAGATGCATATGTTAATTTCTTTGCTCAGCAAGGGCTGGTGGGAGGGTGGGTGTGAGGGAAGTTGACTATAGTAGAGAAGATATTATCATCTTCTTAAATGTCACATTCCAAAGGAAATAGAGGCCTATACCACAGAAAATACGACTCCAAACTATGGGCTTCAATTGATCAAAAGGTTGTTACAATTCATCCGTTTGTATATGAAGAGGTTGAATGGGAATTTTATGAAGAGGGGCTAGTTCTTACGAAGAAGTTGTATTGGCGTGTGTTTACACCTTTGATTTGGGTGGTAGTTTTAATAAGTACTATTTGGTTTGCCTATGTGGTGGCTTTGTAGAAGAAATTGAAAGCCACCAAAATCTTTTATGACAATTATTTTTTAAAACCCTCTAAAGTTTGACAGTATTATCCCAAAATTATTATTAAATAATATTTTACCGATTTGCATCATTTCATATAATACTATTATCCCTTCATATCTTAAGGGGCAATTGTTAGTTTAGAACACTTAATTGATTTGCATGTTTCAATAATACTTAGTACTTCGTATAATATTTCTAGCTTGATTTTTTACAGATGATTTTTTTGTGAGCTTAGGTCATACGGAGTAATAATATGTGAATGTTACAGCTAAAAACTTAATAATGTAAGCTCTTTAATTTAATGTTCTACGACCATCCAATATCTATATCTAATAATAAAGCAATAACTACTTAGTTATATTTTTCCTCTTAAATTCCTTCATTTTCTCTCTCCCATAATTAATACCAGTTTTTTTTTTTTTAGGATTTTTAAACTTGCATCTGCTCAAATATCACTATTTAATATATGAATCCCATTCATAATTCCATAACGTTGTTTATGTGCTATCAAACAATGTAAATTTCAAAAGCTAATAAAGCTTAACAAAAAAAACATATGAATTATGAAGTATAAAGCATTAGAAGTTTTTTTTTATTCAAAAAAAAAAAAAAAAGTATTACAAGTTTTTAGGGAACAAAAAAAACTTTGAATTAATTGATGATATGTGTAATGAAAAAAATAAATTTTAAATACATTAATGAGGGTAAAAATGTAAATAAACATTTTTGTACTCATTTTTATACACATTTTTGAGGGTATAGTTGGTAGCACACTATTCCTAAGAGTTAGCTTACACTTTTTATAAAGTAGGGGTATGTGATGAACAATCTATTTTTTCGTGAATATATGCTGCAGCAGACGCTTAATGAATAGCAATCTGAGCCCACTTTATACTGATTGTTAAACTATGTTGCTGAATTAATTTAATTTGTCTTTGAGTGTAACCCTCCCTTCCCTTGTGATTTTCCTCTGATTGTAATGTATATTTTCATTTTGCAGGTCACATGCCCATACCAAGCAGAATCCGACATCGAGTTGAATTTATCAATAGGAGATTATGTTGTTGTTCGAAAGGTTTGTAGCTTACATCTTTACCTTTTATTGTGACTCTTTGGCTGCTGCTGTGATTAATTATTTTGTCACAAACATCTAAAATTATGTGCTTGAATGAATTTTATCTTTGATAGTTATGCCGTTGTCCCCACAGTTACTTAAAGGACTGATCATCTGGCTGGCTGGCTGTATTTATTCTTACAGCATTTAGGCGTTGCTCTTTTCACCTTAGTAATATAAATTTTGAAGAAATCTAAATTCAGATATGGGCTACCAAATTCATTTCACGACTTAAACATTAGTTTAGACAAGTGATTCATTTGAAAAGAGCAAAGCTTTTGAGCTTCGGCCTTCAGCATATCAAACATTCTGAAAATCACATTTTGTATCATATTTAATGATGGAGAAAGGAATAAGTTTCTCTATTTATTTGTTAAAATATCTCGTCTTAACTTCAAATAAATACACCAATTGAAATCTCTATGCTATTGAGTATTGACAGGTATCCAACAACGGCTGGGCTGAAGGTGAAAGCAAAGGCAAAGCCGGTTGGTTTCCTTACGGATACATTGAAAGAAGAGAACGCATTCTAGCAAGCAAGATCGCCGAAGTTTTCTGAAGTCTACGTCTGGGTAACTGAAACCGAAAAGGTTTTGTCTGTAATGTGTTTCAACCCTACAGCAAAGCCCACAATTTATTGTTTGATTGATATATAAATGGAACAATGGCCGTAGGTTTACTGTAGTGTATGATGTAGCTATCATTTTTGTTTACTTTCTGATCTCCCCATTTATATTTTTTGTTTAAATTTTGTGCAATCTTATAGAAGTATATGTCATGGTATCGGAAGTGGGAGGGGGCAACGACTGGAAGAATGTCATGCAATTGTGACTGATACTTCAAATTTTTCATATGCTATTTTTGATTTCTTGTGTTGGTTTATTGCCTACTTATGCCTTTTTTTTTTTTGCTGCATTTCCTTGCTATTAAACTGCTATTATACTTGTGTGACTGATACTTCAAAATCTGTGTCGCATGTAGTGAATACCTGCAAGAGATGATTATAATAATTACCAACTTAGCATCCTAGGGTCTTATTAAGGTGTTGAGAATCCTTCATCTTCATTGGTGTTGTTGATTATTCCTAAATTCGGTAGTTAGAATGAGGAAGAAAAAGATGTCATGATGTGAGAGTGAGTGAAAGTGAATTGATTACGGTGTTGATTTTATTATACTTAGGTATTTTGTTTGTTACTTAACACAATGAATGAATGGAAGCCTTATTTTGATGGAAAAAGTATACATAGCCTCTTAACCTCATCTTATCTCATGGTTGTTAACAAGAATATAATATTCATTATTGATCGATGCTTTAAATTGTACTTTGTGTTACAAATTACATTTGAACAAGTACAAATGTATGACAATTTGAAAGGTGAAGATTTAATAGGGTACCTCTTCTTACATTACACTACAATATAGTTTTAACTTTATATGAATATGCATTAAACAAGAAGCATGATCAATTTATTCCCAACTACTTTTTTTTTTTTTGGTTTGGAGGGGTGATGTACATATCTAGTGTCCATCACTAAACTTTCCAATCGAAGGTATTGATTATTCAGCAACTTGAATAATAAGTTTGCCCCAAAACAAGAACTATGAGTACACTGATCCTCAAAATGAACCAGAAGTTAGAAAATGGCCAAAATGCAAAGCGTATTATTACAAGGCAGTTACTTGAAAAAAGCCTTGGTTTCACAAATTCATGTTTAGAGAAAGCAAGCGAACCCAAACAACAAGCCACGCAATTGCACAAGAAGCCATACCTGCAAAAATGCAACTAAAGGTGAAAAATAATATATTGGCATGTAACTCTAGCCTGTACGGCATGAGCCTTGGCTGATTGCAGGATAATTAGATCATTTAGCCCCGTGTTAGTTGCCTAACCCGTTAGGCAGTTCGTTATTATGACATCCAGATCTAGTAGTGTACTAGTGTTATACGTACCACTGCTTAATATTTTAGTTATTCTGTTGGTTGGAAGACAGACGAGTGTAAATGATTGCCAGAACAATGAAGAACATCATCATCTGCATAGAAGGTCATGTTTAGTAAATATACTGATCGAAACACCGCACCATAGCATACTTTCAAAAGTTCTCACCGCGATTGGAGAGTATGCTGACTTAGTCCTCACAATGTGCAATTTCCTGATAAAAAATGCAGATGGGATTCTATCAGATTTTTGTGAAAAGTTACATTGTTCTTGTAGGAGCAGGATTTTGGAATCACCTTTTTTTCAGTGTTCCGGAATTCTTACAAATACTCTGGATTGCTTCAATCTTGCTTAGTGTTTTTGTGGCATTTGGATCCTTCTTATCAACCTACATAAGCGGATTTGCGTAAGTTGATAAGATTAGAATAGTAAAAGACAGTAACGTTATTTTAACTTAATTACTTGATAATGATCTTCATTCATGTTGCTTATTATTTATAGACAAAAGCCGAAGGGGATACTAGTAATGACTTGTTTCCTATGGAGCATTACCTTTGATTTCATCAAGGAGAGGAAATCATAGAAGGCGCCGTAAACATCAGACATTGTGTTTGTCTGATAAAAAATTACAGCAGCAAGACCTAATTTGCACAAATACAAACATCAACGACAGTGCGGTCATGGAAACAGCAACATAAACAATGGGCTCTTGTCGACATATTGAATGAGAGTCATCTCTAAGAAAAATATAGAAAGGAAATTAGATTCATGTAAAACACACACACACACACAGATTCAACTTACCACGTCTCATTTTCACCGGGCGTCTGAAGAATTGACTGTTGTTGTAGCATAAAGCTAAAGTTCCAATGCTCATGATCTAGCGCATAAATTACAGAGGAACAACATCATTATAATGCTAAAGATAAGTAATTAAGCATCTGCCTTGATTGCCTTATATCATCCTAGAAGACTATAAGCAGGCATCAAGTGCATAAGGAGAAAGATATCAACTGGATATAACAGCTAAAATATGGTGATTCAGAAGAAGTCATACGTGTGGAATAGCTGAAAACCGAAATATGGCATGATCATGCAAAGCTGACATGTAGTTTAGGCAATCTTCTACATGCAACAAGGAATTGGTCACCATCTCATTTAAACATTGGACCGCCTTTTCTCTGTTCTCCTCGCATTTCAAGTCCTGCATAACAAATTTAAACCAAGTTAGGGTGACAATTGATCAAGAAACTCGTCACCCACGTACTCCTCTTCAAGACATTGATGTCTCATACTAAATCACATTTACCTTATCCAATTTTTAATTTAAGGCCAGTTGAAATCAGAAGAATGACTTACTTCCAGTTGGTTGACATATTTACACCAAATCTCCCGGGGCCAAAACTTGCGAGGATTCGGAATATCATTTATATCTTCAAGGTAATCTTGAATGATGTTTGTTTTCTGCACAATATGGACAGACACTATACTATGTAACATCATAGAAGAATGGATGATATCATGGAGCAACCAAAGGTGTAATGCAGGGTCCAAAGCAAAAGGGATCGGATTACCTGCAAAAATAAAGACACCGAATTGGAAAGATCCTCTGGAGCTAGATCCTCCAAACCAGGGTTATGGAAAAGCTTCGATAATCCTAAACCAATAGGCCCTGTTACGTTGTGGCAATATTCATCATAGTCCCTAACTGTTACAATCTGTCAAAAAAGCAAAAATCTTTTAGGTTGTATACACCTGATTTGGATGATCAATGTACACTTAGTCGCCTAACTTGGATCCCAAATTTGATTTTTTTTTTTTTTGTAAAACCAAAACCTAAATAACATAACTAAAAGGTCATACAGTGAGCAAATTTCTGCCTCGAGGCCAAAACAAGGATGGCTTCTGTTTCACAGCATTCACTAGTGCACTAGGCCAAAATTTAGTTCTACTAGTACAACCTGTTAGCTTTATGATACCAAAGTCAGTTTCGGCTATGGATCTCCAGCAAATTTAGGTGGACTGTCAAGAGTATCAACAGATTTTCAGGTATCTAGCAATGTAATGAAGGTACAAGGGACAAGCAGACAGATTTATCTACAAAAAAAGCAGGTAAATAATTGCAACAAACCTCCTTGCAGATAAATTTTGCCATTCCTTCACCCGTCTGTCTGATCATATCCTCAATTATTACTTGGCAACTGCATATGACACATGTAAAATTAGTTCTCACGCAGTCATGCCTTACCATTGGAACCTGACAAACCAGGATAAGTTGGAGCATGTGAATGATTTAAGATTCAGAACAATGAATCAGCCTGGGATTTTGCAAGCTTAACATGATCACCAACAAAACGAGTAGTGAAGCATATTTACAAAATTGGATGTGTAACAAGTGCATTAGATCAAATAATGTGTCTTTACCATTCTTCCAAAAGGCAATGCAACAAGCCAACAAGGATAACTTATTTGCCAAATTTCAATTTTTTATACACATATTATCACATTGCATGCAATATCATCAGGAGATGCACATATGAATATTTAGACACTGAAAATTGGTAAGAAGTCTTACAGGATACTGTCATAAATCATCCTAAACCATTTACTAAATAACCAAGTCTAAAGTTCTTGCATGCTTTGGAAAATGATATCTTTGAAAGGCGATAGATAAATATTCATTTGATCGAGATGAAGAAGGTTACTGACTTACTGTCTATCAAGCTCCAGAAAAGCAGTTGAGACATGATGAAACTCATCCATCAGAATTTTGCAGTCCCCTGCTCCACCTTAATACAGAACAAGATAATCAGAGTTGCACAATATGTATAGGCACTGATTTAATTTAAATACTGTATTTCGTACGAATAATAAAAAGACCAATATATGGACAGAAGAATTGTGCAAAACTTCGTTCACTCACAAGAAAACTTCCAGTCGTGATCATATATATGCTGATGAAAAGCTCTCAGAATAGGCAATTTGACATCCGCAGCTATGCTCATGTCATCCTCTATCCATCAATACCAAAAAGCAACGAGAGATAAGATACACATACACTAAGTAATTATAGATGACAACTTAAAACATGCATGGCATGCTATTGCAGGTTATAATTGTTACAATGTCGTTACAGACTCTTCATTTCAGCTTGATATTAGCACAACATTTTAGTCACTTAGACCAAATTGTCCAAATTTATGTAAAATTTTATTTAATATCCGAGTTCGACACATGGACACATAGACACATACCCGTGTCTAGCATAAGTGCATTCCATAGTTCATGTAAGTGCTTGCATTGAATCATTTATACAATATTGTTGAGATTAAAGAGACAAACCTACAGTATCGATGGCTCGAAGGAACAAGTAAAAGACACATGCCTGTAATACAACGAAGCAGCACAAATTAAACCTACCGGAGTACATGTTAGAGCATGATGCACATTTGCTCCAAAAGAACACATATTTAATATACACATGTAAAGAATACTTTGTATAATCTATCTTCATGTAAATACTTTAGTATGTTTGACACAAAGAAAGGAGAAAGATAGGAGATGAAGCTCACAGCATTGCGAAGCTCAGTATCAAGCTGTTGTATAACAAGAGAGAAACTTGTGGAAACCTTGTGAAGCATAGTATAGCAGAAACCCCAGTGAATTTCAGGTGGGATTTGCTCCTTAGCCTCTTTAACAGCCATCTTTACCTTCAAAATTGGGTAAAATTCATCTGGGTATTTCAAAATCTCCCACAAAGTTTCCATTTTTATCAACTTTAAGAACTGGTTACTGCTCAAAATCTGATATTTCTATGTAATATATAGTATACTTCAGCAATTATCAATAATAGAGTGCGATTATTATTTAAGAAGTCAAGTTTAGGAGTTCACAATGTGAGTGTATGCTGCAGTGCTGCTTTTTGTTTTTTGTTACTTAGCAATCAGTGCCTTCTGCATTATTTGAACAAAAATAAAAGTTGGTCTACCCATCTCTTAATACTCATACTCCATTAAGTTCATTCCTCTCACATTACCGACTTCGAAAAAATAAATAGGAAAATGATAGGGCTATGTATAAGAAGCTAAAAAAAGATATATTGCAGATAAATTAACAATAATTACACCGATCTGCAAGTGATTTTGTCATGAATTCCAACTTATTTCCATTTTAGGAAGTATATTTAATGTTTAAGGTCTATATATATCATTACTCAAATAAATATCGTCACTCTTATATATCTCATATGACCTTGAAATGAAAGGTACTCCGTAAAAACTTAACTATCAATTCAACATTACATTATTGTTTTATACGGAGTAATTTTATTTATTTTATTTTTTCCATATTTAACCCAATAGTTATTCCTCTAACAATTATGAAGTAATAACAAGAATGTCAATTTTCTTACCCCAATTTTCATTTTTAGTATGATAAATTTTTTCATCTGAAAATTGAAAACTGATTTCAAATATGTCCCACATGCCTTGAATTTTTGTTACTTCTCACATGCATGCAAGAGGCAACCAGTCATTACCTCATGAGTATTAGCAAATAATAAAATTGATTTAAAAATAGTACTCCATAGTAATTAAATGCTTCCCAATTCACAAAAATAGATCCAAACAAAAGAAGGAATGAAGAATTGTCGTCTCTTTTTAAATGGACTAAAGAACAATGATTAAACTTAAGTTTGTGCCAAAACTAGAACATGACTAAATGGTCCTTAAAATACATCAGCAGCACTTCCAACTTACAAGCAAACTTATTAGAATGTTACGAAGCAGCTACAAACCATCAATGATGACGTGTGCCATATCGTTCCCCTCATAAGTGATTTATGTGCAATGTATATTTGTTTTGCTGCTATGATTCAGGAGCTCGTTTCGAACAAGAGAACATAAGTACCTCTGTATATTCTTACAACAACACACCGCACAACTGCACATGAAGCCATACCTGCAAAAATGCAGCAACATATGTTAAACAATGTTGGCATGTAACATTAGTTTTAATGACATGAGTCCAAAAGATGTCTGCCTAATAGTTAGGCAACATGTGCGAGATGTTGATAATGTCCTTACTTCAGTATAACAATGGTTTGCTCATGGTACTTAGTTCATTTCATTCCGTGTTAGTTGCCTAACTAGTTAAGTAGTTAGGCAAATAAGCATATTATCATGGCACATAACTACATAAGCATATTATCATATGACATCCAAGTGTAGTTGTGCTATACTTACCAGTTACCACTGAGTAAGAATTAATCAATCTGTCGATTGGAAGACAGGCGAGAAAAAATGATTGCCATAACAATGAAGAACACCATTATCTGCATAGAAATTATGGTCAGTCTCTAACTTTAGTCACCATAGCATATTTTAAAAGTTCTCACCAAGATTGAAGAGTATGCTGACTTATTCCTCACCATGTGCAATTTCCTGAGGAAAAACATAGATAGAAATTTATCATACGTTGTGAAAATGTACATGGTTTCAGTGAGAGTATGTATCAGTAATCACCTTTTATTTAGAGTTCCAGAATCCCTACAAATCCTCTGGATTGCTTCAATCCTGCTCAGTGTTTCTGTAGCATTTGGATCCTTCTTATCAACCTACAAAAAAGGATTTGTGTAAAACTAAATAGAAAATTATGTTGTGTTCACACATTCTTCCTTTTCCAATATAGTCCTTTATCTCTAGTAATAACATTGATGTGGTAGAGATGTCAGGGTAAACATAATGAAGGATAGTCTAACTCGGTTTCTAAAATAGGATTATCGTATATAGCCTAATTAGCCTATTGTATATAATGAAAATGATTGGAGTATAAAAGCAATGCCTGTTTGTTTCCGGGACATTACCTTGGTTTTCATAATCGAGACGAAATCATAAAAGGCTCCATAAACATCAGCCATTGTGTTCATCTGATCAAAAACTACAGCAGCAAGACCTAATATGCAAATATGCACAAATACAAATATAGCAAATACATCACAAGGAGACAATGCTCTTATGGTAACCACTAAAACATTACAAACAACCTGCAGTAATGTAATGTATGTCATTTCTTAGGATGGATACATAACAGATACATGTGGAAAAAAACGGAGCTGAAATTACTTACCACGTCTAATTTTTACCGCACGTTTGAAGAATTGATTATTGTTGTAGCATAAAGCTAAAGTTCCAATGCCCATAATCTAGAATATGTAAAGAAGAATGTCATGAAGTTATAATAACAGGTATCAAGACTTAGGGTGAAAGAGAGATGCCTCATGAAAAATAACAGCTAAAATCTGCAGAAAAAATAAAAATCTTGTACTCCTTAATATTATGAAACAGATTTGATGCTGTTTGAAAGTACTCCTTAATTGTGTGATGCATAATATCTGGAATTTTTCCCTAACAAGACAATTATATGAAGATTGGGGGCAGTAAGAATGCTAGCTGATTCAGGAGATCTCATACTTGAGGAATAGCACAGCTCCAGAGTATGGAATGATCCCGTAAAGCAGACATGCAGTTTAGGCAATCTTCCACATGCAACAAGGCATTTGTCACCATCTCATTTAAACATTGAACTGCCTTTTCTGAGTTTCCTTCACACTTCAAATCCTGCAGAAGAAATTAAATTTCAATCTTAAAGTTGCTACAATTCAAGAAATTCTTCAATATTTTTTCACATATTTTGCCAAGCTTCTTAAAGTTTATTGAGTAAGTAATTTCAAATTTACTTATGCACATCACTCACCTGTAATTACATAATTTCTATAGACAAAACAAAGGAAAATACTCCAAATCTAATAAGATGATAAGAGCAGATAACAAGCTATTACAAAGACATTACTAACCTCAAGTTTGTTCACATATTTACTCCAAATCTCCCGAGGCCAAAACATGCGAGCTTTTGGAACCTCATTTATATCTTCAAGGTAATCACGAATAATGTTTACTTTCTGCACAATATGGACAGATTGTTTGTTATGTAACATCATATACTGCTTTTTTACTTTGATATCACAGAGCAGTATAGCAGGCCGAGAAGGTTGCAAAGCAATTAAGGCAGAAACTCATACCTGCAGAAATAAGCCAGTTGAATTGGGAAGGTTGTCTGGAGCTAGATCCTCCGAACCAACATAATGGAAAAGCTTTGACAGCCCTAATCCAACAAGTCCTGCTGCATAGTGGCAATATTCATCATAGTCACCAACTGTTTCTATCTGCCATATAAGGAACAGTTGAATATTAAAGATATAGATGTAAATACACCAGGTTCGGAAGATTAGTTGAGTCCCACATTTTTAGCAAATATTAGTAAAATCAAAGCCTTTGGATTTCCAGCAGATTTAGGTGGACTCAGTTATCAAGAATTATATAATATAGGCATAACTTATCACTTAGCATATGTTTTCTTGCCTCAGCAACTTTACACAGAAAAACTAGGGGAGGTTAGCTAGAAAGGAAATGGATCAACTATAAATTATTCTTATGAATAAGTCCTCTGGTAATGCATATGCACAAACCTCCTTGCAGATAAATTTTGCCATTCCTTCTCCCATCATTTTGATCGTATCCTCAATAACCACCTGGCAACTGCAGATTCCACGAGTATAAGTAGCTCACACATAAATCAGAGCAAGTTAACAATTCGGAACAATGTCCCAGAGCCTGGGACTTCACAAACCTTAAAATGAACACAACTAATGAATATTGAGTCAATAAGCTGAGACATATATAGTTATTGAAGCATTAGATCAAAAGTTCTAGTCATACATTTATATTTTCCATAAGGCAGCTACTGTAAGAGGCCACGCAGCAAGGATAATGTACACACCAAGGTGTCATTTTTCATGCACAGACATATATATTACTCAGCATGCGATATCAAAAGATACAAACATTATTAATCAGACACAGACAGGTAAGATGTTTTAAATGATAGCGCCAAATTTCATCCTGATCCAATTACTAAAGCAAGTTAGTACTTAAAAGATATTTAAATTTGATCAAACTTCAACCAAACTAACTAAAATATTCAGATGATAGAGGATGGAACGGAATCAGGCAATCAGCAAGCAGTGAATAGTATGTAAACAGGATATGATGCTTTGTTGCAAAAAAAAGGAATGGACTTTAGGAGTATACACTATAACAATTAAGCAACCAATAACAACATTTAAAAAATTGCTCATACATGTTGATAGCAGGAATTGTGCATAGATGTTAGGCCTAACTAAGAAGAAAAGTAAAGGAACTTACATCAAGCTACTCACCTATGTTTTCAATAATTAACAAGACTTTAATATGCAATATAAAGCTCTTTAATGTATATGTAGCAAATGTTATTTTTGGAAGGAGACATAAATTTGAAAGATAAGAAGCTTACCCTCTTTCAAGCTCCAGAAAAGCAATTGAGACGTGATGAAACTCATCCATCAGAACTTTGCAGTCCATTGTACCACCTTAGTACAGCAGAAAATGGACATATAGAGCAAAAGAACCGATATCATATTAATATGTAAAATAAATTTAGCTAGGAAATGGCAAAATCAAGGAACTGCTTTAGAAAAATTTACAGGGAATTAGAAAATTAAGTGAAAAACATTCTACCATACAATATCACACACTAGATAAAAGAATTACTAATACTAAGATTTGGACTACAGAAGAGATTTTGAGTTGACTCACAAGAGAAATGCCAGTCACTGTCATATATGTGCTGGTGAAAAGCTCTCAAAATAGGCAATTTGACATCTGTAGCTATGCTTGTATCATCCTCTGTCCATTAGTGCCAAAACCAATAAGAGAAAAAGATGAAGTTTATAGTAAATCATAGTTCAACTTTCAATATATATGCCATTGCCATGTCATGTTGAACGGACGCTTCAGTTCACCTCAACACTCAAATCAGATTGCCTAACACACGGTCTAATATAAATATGAACACTTGACACTATATATTGGATCAAGAATACCAAAATATTTTCATTAAAATCAGAGTCTACACACTCCCATGTCTAATTTAATATGGATATGACCACTTGACACTTTGTATTAGACCAATAATATGAAAATATTTCTTTAAAATTGGAGTCAGCTCTTGACACATACCCATGTTTAACACAAGATGGACATAAAGACTTCACACTTTATATTGGACCAAAGATATAGAAATATTTATGTAGAATGTGAGTCCAACACTTGACACATACCATGTCTAACTTATCAAATATGGAATCGGGTTATAGCTTGCATGTATAAAATTTTGTAGAGCTTAAAGAGACAAACCTACAGTGTCGAGGGCTCGAAGGACCAAGTACAAGACACAAACCTGTAAATTGTAAATTTTTTACACAATAAAGATCTTAAAATGATAAGCAAAAACAGGTATGTAAATTTCTATATATTTTAATTACTGTAATTAATGATTGAAATAATGCATAGACAATCATAAAAATGAGAATTTTTGCCTCCTCTCGTATTATTTACTTGACCTATAGTCCCTTGGCAGTTTGAGGAAGTGATTAGAGAAAAATAACATACACTAATCATAAAACAAATTAATGCCATAAAAAATAGAATGGAATACAAGTACTTCATTTATCCTTTTAAGTTTGCCCCAATTTTCATACCACCAAAGATCGCTTCACAACCATGGCTAATTGGCTATGATACCACTTAAGGTCGCTTCACAAACATGGCTCTGATACTACTTGTTGGGCGGCATGTTTGCCTTCACTGAGTTCACTCCATATTAGTATGATATTGTCCGCTATAAACATAGCCTGCATGGAGTTGATTTTGGAAAACTTTCAAAAAAAAACCTCATACTAATAGAGTGTGCTCTTGCTTATAAAGAAATTTTCAACTCCTTATTCTTTCCACGTGGGACTTGCGATAACAATCCCAACAAATTTTACTCTTGTAAAATTTATTTATGTCCCACCAATATTTGTTAACTAAAACTTAATAAAGTAAAATATGACTTGATGCAAACAATTGAAAGAATTAAAGGAATTAATGGTTTGATATGAGAATGGGGAGAGTTGCAAAAATTCAAAAACTGATAAAAGACAACAAATGCTCAAACATTTACTGTCCCCGTTTAGGAATAATCGATAAACTTTCCTCTTTTAGTAAAAGAGGATAAATTTTGGAGAATCTACAGCAATGTGAAGCTGATTGCCAAGTCTTAGAACGTTGGCACATACAGAAATTGGACATGGGACCACAACTTTACTCTCGCAAAATTTACTTTAGTTCCCACCAATTTTTATCTCTAATCAACTTCACGCAACCAAAATTTAATAAAACAAAGCATAACTCGTGGCAAACAATTGAAGGGAATAATAACTCGACATCAAAATAGGAAGTGCAATAATAATTCAGAAACTGATAAAAAAAAACACACGGTCAATTACGAGTATTTAGGAACAGAAGGAGTAATACAAACTCACAACAACAACAACAAAGGACAAAAATTGAAGATCTTACAGCATTGCGGAGCTGAGTATCAAGTTTATGAATAACAAGAGCGAAACTTCTGGAAACTTTGTGAAGCATAGAATAGCAGAAACACCAATGAAGTTGATGTGGGATCTGCTTCTCAGCCTGTTCGACCGCCATTTTCAACTTCAAAAGTGGGTATAATTCATCTGGGTGTTTCAGAATGTCCATCAAAATCCCCATTTTAATCAAATTTTGCTGCTCAAAATCTGTGATTTTGATGTAATTTGTACTTACAAATTGTCAATACTCAGAGTTGACTTGTGAGTGCGTGTTTTGGTATCTTGAATTTAGTGTTTTTCATCGTTTTTCTTCTTGTATATATTTTTTAATTTTTATATTGGGGTGTGTTCCTGAATTTGCATCGTCATCACTCATTAGCTCAGCACGTAAGATTGCTTTGCGTGTGATATTTTTTTGTGCTTGTTTGATTGACAAAATAAATGGTTTTGAGGATATTTTATGTTTTCTGTGACAAGGTTAAGTAATCATAAAAAAAATTATCAACATGCAATTCGACATAAGTTAATTGTAATCCTCCTCTTTTTTTTTTTTTTTTTTTTTTTAATGATATTAGAATTATATACATTGTGACGAATATAACTAAGTCAAAGTGGTTTTTGTTTTATTTATTTAAGAAACGGGGTATCAAGGAAAAATTGTCCCTAATTTCGTGCTAATTTTTTGCTCATCAACATTCCCTTAAACTGTGAAAATAAACAAAAGTAGCATTAAAATTTGCTTGTTTATGTTAATTCACCTTTCATCGTACTCGACTATTGATTGCAGAAGGAGGATCTAGTCACAGGCAACTCAAATTGCAGAAGATGTACTATTAGTGTAAGTTTTCCTAGGAATGGCACGGCAAGGAATTATTTCCATCCAAAGTTTATTCAAACAAACAGTTGAAATTATCAATTCGAGTTGAAAATTGGAGAAATTCTCTAATGGCCTTCACTAAACCTTCCAATCGAAAGGTAACGATGATTTAGAATTCTGGTAATCCTACACATGGTGTTTGCGCAGCCTGGACAATGAAAAGAATGATACTAATAATGAATAAGAAGCCAGAAGTGTGCCAATACATTCGTCTCTCAAACATTCACGTAAAATATACTAGCAAATACAGAGTATACAAAAAAATTATCAACCAAGCCACAGCTTCAAACTTAGAGAAAGTCATCCTCATTCGACAGCAACAACACGAGAAAGCCATTCTGCAAAACTGCAGCCATAAATGATAAAAACTGTCTGCCAGGTAGCTCTAGTGTGTACGACAATGTACTTTTCGTACCACTGCTAAACAATCAATTGTTCTGTCGGTTGGCAGATAGACGAGCAAATATGATTGCCAATACAATGAAGAACACCATCATCTGCGTAGAAATATTAGTCAGTATCTAAACACCACAAAGCCGTTAAGAGAATTTTCACAAGTTCTCACCATGATTGGAGTGTATGCTGACTTGGTCTTCATAACGTTCAATTTCCTGAGAAAAGAAAAATTTATCATTTGTGAAAAAATTAATCAAGTTATGCATGAGCAGAAATTTGGAATCACCTTTTGTTCAGAGTTCCAGAGTCCTTGCAAATTTTCTGGATTGCTTCGATCCTACTTAACGTTTTTGTGGCATTTGGATCCCTATTATCGACCTACATAAGTGGATTCACATTAAGTCTTTCTAATATATGTATGTATAGAAGTCGGTTTGTTTCAAATTATGGGGCATTTACCTTCGGTTTCATCATACAGGCGAAATCATAGAAGGCACCATAAACATCAGGCATTGTGTTTGTCTGGTCAATAACTATAGCAGTGAGACCTAATTTGCACAAAAATAAACAAATTATAACAAACCCCTTGGACGAGTTAACAAAATGACATGTTTTTGCCTTTTTGGAAACAAACTATTAACTAACACAGTATATTCCGGACAATGGAGTACAAGAAGATATAGATCTGTCCCATGAACACCACAACACAAGCAACTAGCTTTAATCGTATGGAATTTACAATAAATGAGAAACATCAAGGCAAAGGAAATAAGATCAAAGCAAAGGTAGCTCTAATGATCACATAGAAAAGAATCCAGCAGCAGCAAAACATAAGGTTATAGGAGCAACCTCCATAATCATATGGTTCATGCAAATCCCAGATTAACATGTGTCAGCCCCGCCATTGAATACAGCCTTTTGGGCAACAATGCTATAAGACTAAAGACAATGTTTCCAAAACGTTTCAGTCATCTAAAACAGGCAATACAGTTCAAAGTAGCTAAAGAAGCAAATTTTGTTTCATAGTATAGACTCCAAGACTTTGCCTTCAGCCATATCCTACATCTGTCATTAAATTAACGGCATACAGCTGCCAAAAACTAAAGGTAGAACTGGCACCAGAATCAAGGAGGACAAAAATTCTAAAAGAACCATGAAAGCGAACGACGCGACGGAGGTAACAAAATATAGCAGCTGGCAGTCCCTTATTTTCCAAAAAAAAAAACAGGAAAAAAGGGACAGTTCGATACAATTTCTCGCGCGACAAGTAACAAAATATAGCAGCTGGCAGTCCCTTATTTTCCAAAAAAAAAAAACAGGAAAAAAGGGACAGTTCGATACAATTTCTCGCGCGACAAGGCAACTGAGAAAACCGAATTCGCCCCAACCTCGAATTCGGATTTTCAAAGGACGCGACCCCCAACCCACGGGTGGAGCCCTGTCCTAAATCGCTAAGGCTCGCAAGGGCCCTTTTGGGGCTTTGGCGTTTAGAGCTAGGTTTTACAAGATGCAAGTTTCAAGATCTCATCACCAGGCTTAGTTTGAAGCAGTAAGCATAGGAACAATTGCTACCTCTCTCAAAATACAGAAAAATTCCAAATTATGGCATCATATAAAAGATGACAGCAGCATAGGTCAAGCAAGCCCATAAGAAACATCAAAAATACTAGCAGATATACGTAAGAAGGAAACAAACAGCAGATTAACTTACCACGTCTCATTTTCACCACACCTCTGAACACTTGAAGATTGTTGTAGCATATAGCTAAAGTACCAATGGCCATGATCTAAAACACGTACAGAAGGGCGACATGAGATAACAACGCTAAGATAACAATAAAACCTCTGCCTTTTGGTCTAGTGGACAGAAACAAAAATCAAATGCACAAAAGAAGGAATATGGCTTTTTAAATAATACTCCTTCCAATCCAAAATGATGGTTATGTATGGTGATTTTACAAGGTTATTACGGAATAAAAGATAGTGGAAAGCAATGATTAGATGTCACATGTATCAAGTATTAAGACATTTCAACATTGGAAAATGGGAATATTTGCTTTTGGAGTAGGTAAACATTTTGGTAAACAAGAATAGTTGCTTTGGAGTAGGTAGATATTCTGGTAAATGGGAATAGTTGCATTGTAAAATGTATATATGAGGGAAAATGAGTAAAAATATCTGTATTGGAAATAGAAAGAGTTGAAACGTAACCAACAAAGGGGCATGCCCAAAATGGCAAACGTTACCATTGTTTAGGCATAGAGGAAGAAGCATACATCAGCAAATTTTATCCATTTAACACAGTTTAATATCCTCCTCTTCCATAGCAATTGCAGAAAGCATTTGCTCTGTATTTTATAAACATCATTTTATAGTCAACTCAGACCATATCACTGCATCTCTACTTGGATAAATATGGCAAAACAGAAATGAGGAGGGAGGGAGGGAAGGGGGGGGGGGGGGGGGGGGGGGGGGGGAGGATCTTTGCCCTACTCTGATAGTTTCTGGTTTTATTCTAAGCCTTAGGTTTTACCTCAAATTGATTGTTCTTGGTTCATCCAATGTGATTCAAAGATAGTTGTACATTTATAGTTTTACTATTAATAACAACTAGTAGGTAGCAATTGATAATAAGGATAATATATGAAATAAGGGAGGTTGTATAAGTGCTGATTCAGAAATTTTCATACTTGAGGAATAGCACAGAAACGGAATATAGCAGGATCCCGCAAATCAGACATGTATTTTAGACAATCTTCAACGTGCAATAAGGCATTTGTCACCATGTCATTTAAACATTGAACTGCCTTCTCTGAGTTCTCCTCATATTTCAAATCCTGCATAACAAATTTCACAGAAAGTTAAGTAAAACTATTACAAGTAATTCTTTTCCCTTTCAAAGGGCAGGTTCTTTGCCCACCTCCATCTAGAGATAGATATGTCAATATCTCATACTACATCACATTCACGCGATCCAATCCATACAGAAAAACAAAGAGGTAAATGAGAACAAATTTTAAAGGTCGAATGGTACATAATTGTTGAATTGCATACACATATCTCTACGAAAGGTGCATAATTTCTGAGCTACAAAGTACACGAACTTTAAGGATGCGTGATTTCTGAACAAATAGATACACTTTTTCTCAGGGTGACTTGTTTGAAATAAACATGTACATGCAGTTCAGAAAGTATGCACCCCAAAAATGATGTATCTGTGGTTCAAAAACTATGCACCTGCATAAAGCATGTCGTTCTCATCCATTTCATTTTAATATGCTTGTAATTGAGTCTCTCACTGGAGGAAAAAATCTGATAACTAGCCAGTTGAAATATATAAGAAGTGCCTAACCTCGAGTTTATTAACATATTTACTCCATATCTCCCGTGGCCAAAACATGCGGCATTTTGGAATCTCATTTATATCTTCAAGGTAGTCACGAATAATGTTGGTTTTCTGTGCATTATGGACAGACAGTATAGCACCATATTAGATGTGATTTCATGGAGCACATAAGACACCAGGTTCCAAGCCAAAAGGAATACCTGAAGAAATAAACCCATTGAATTGGAAAGATCATCTGAAGCAAGGTCCTCTAAACCTGCGTTATGGAAAAGCTTTGACAACCCCAAACCAACAAGTCCAGCTACATAGTGACAATATTCATCATAGTCAGCAATGGATTCTACCTGCCAAACAAAGAAAACTGTTTAAAATAGATTTACACCTGATATGGAAGATTAACACCTTAACAAAGTTAAATCCCATATTTGTAAGATATACACAAAAATAACATGATTTACGGGCATATTACGTACAAACTGCTTCCGTGAGGCAATAATGATTATAAACCCACAAAAAAAAAAAAAAAAAAAAAAAAAAAGAAGAAGAAGAAGAAAACTGATCCATATCATTTGCAAGGAAAAAAAAAGAGGTTCTAGAATTCCCAACTCCCAAGCATGTAGAGGTATAATGAAGGTATATGGGCAAGCAGACAGATACGTCAGAGAAAGCAGGTAAATAATTGCAAAAATTTCCCTCTAAATCTAAAAGTAAAACTCTTCTGGTATCAAGGAATTTTGTGGGGAAGGGGAATCAATTACAAACTATTTTGAGAGTGCAAAAAAGCTTTTCTAATGCATTTTGCACAAACCTCATTGCAGATAAATTTTCCCATCCCAGCACCCATCCTTTTTGTAATATCCTCAATTGCCACTTGGTATCTGCAGATGCCACAAGTAAATATCACACATAGTATCAAGAGTAATAGATAAATTTGTAAACGCAAGAGCTTGTGAACAATTCAGAACAAGGAAACATAGCCCACGACTATATAAACTAAGAATGACCACAAACGAGCAATGCTTCATTTTTTAACTCCTAAAGGTTTATATTTTAAGAGGAAACAAGGTTAATATAAAAGCCAGATATTCCCTAGAAGAAAAGCAAGGGCAAATTAGCAAGCACTTATCTATGGCTTCATCGTTAGAAAGCATTAATAGAGCATAGAAGTTTTTTGCATACACTGCAATATGCTAATCTTGAAAGGTAACAGAGATTCAGGAGATAAGCAGCTCACCCTCTGTCAAGCTCCGAAAAGGCAGTTGAGACATGATGAAACTCATCCATCAGAACTTTGTAGTGCTTTGTACCACCTTATATTACATAAAAGGACAATCAAAATGACAGATGTTACTTCAGACAAAGATCTAGGAGGAGAGTTGGGGGGGGGGGGGGTATGAAATAATAATAACTCCGTAATAGAAAATCGACAGATGGGATTGTGACATTGTGCATAAAGAATCTACTAATCTCAAACCAGAGGGCAGATAGGATATGAGGCATATGCCTCTTAGTAACACAATAAGATTAAACCATTAATAACAGTTGTAATTATATCATAATAATAACCATAAAAGGAAGGAGATAAACATTGAACAAACAATATCCAAAATCACAGTTTGAATGCTAGGTCATTTATGAATAACAAGAACAAGATTTGGACAGTGGAAGAGAAGTTGAGAAAAACTCAGTTTACTCACAGGAAAAATGCCAGTCACGATCATATATGTGCTGATGAAAAGCTTTCAGGATGGGCAATTTGACATCTGTAGCAATGCTCGTATCATCCTCTGCACATGAGTACCAAACCGAAAAGCAATAAGAGATAAGATACATACTTATAGTACACATTTTTTTCATTTCATCTTCATTAGTTTTCATGCTACTGACTATTACAAGAAATCAGTACAGCTGGTCCTAGGATGGGTGTCAAGTGTCACCGCATGTTTTTAAAAAAAAATCAAACAAAATTCAAGAGTAATACAAAATCCTAGAAGACTAAACAAATTAGAAGAGGACAGAGTATAGATGAGATATGGCCTCTTAATAAGTTTAGATTTTAAACTGAGCTAAAATCACAATTTTCATCTCGTCATCAGGACTAGTAGTCTCAGCAGCGTTAAGGAGGCCATTATAAGTTTATTACTACATGACATGATAATAGTAACAATGCATGGATATAGTTGCTGAGCTTGTAGAGACAAACCTACAGTGTCGAGGGCTCGAAGGACCAAGTAAAACACACAGACCTGTAAGACAAGTAGAATTGATAAGCAAATATAGTGCTTGTGTACAGAAAAGGAAAAAGTTGAAACATTCTTCTGCAAACTTAGACTTTAAGTACCAGATCAGAAAGGAACCAGGTTTTAATCCATAATTTTCCTATGTCAAATGAAGCTCAGTGCACTTTGCACTTCTCATGTGATTGTTTATGGCTATCAATCTATCATATAGAGAGCGGTAAAGTGCTTACTTTCACAAAATCCTCACTGCAACATGTTTTGAGTTTCCCAATAGTCAGTAAAAGGTTCTATATAAATCCCTCACATGCATAAATCATACACAAGTGCACAAAGAACCAGCAATTACACCATATTTCTCCATTTCAGTATTCATCAATCTAGCCAGGATTATAAACTATATAGCAAATTATGCAACATTTTCTTTAAACTCAAATGGACCAGAAACTAGGAACAATCAAGAAATTTGCATTGTCATCATCAAATCTTGTTACTTAGGGACAATCAACTAAACCAACTCATTATAAACAGGAAAAGCATGCAATTATTTCTTGATTAAGCATGTAAGTCCTTTTCTTTTCTTTTCTTTTTTTTTATTTTTTTTTATTTTTTTTTATAAAGTCAATAAAGACGCAAAAGCAAGGAAAAAAAATGTTATCACCTTTTTGAAAAAGACATACTAATAAAGCATCCAACATCCATACGCATAACTAGTCTCCCTTAGCTCTGGTGGCTTTCCAGAAGAAATATGAAACCTCAGGTAAAAAATTAAAGGACTAAACTTTGAAATTTCCAAAAGAGATTTTACAAAATACCTTCCTTTTAAGAAAAATAGGCACACGCATAATACACATATTAATGTTGACTTAAAAAAGTTACAATAAAGTCTATGTTGTTAATCCTATATACTGTGTATATATCGTATTGATCGATCTCACACACGTGAAAAGTAAAATCGCTAATTCAATCTCAGATATTAAAACAGACTGAATTCCCCTGGTAGCATTTACCAAAATCAATGGATATTCAAACTAATTGTCACCCTTATATAACTTTACATCAAAATACACAATCGCACACAAAAACTCCCTCCGTACCCATTTATTTGCTACATTTTTATAGATGTGTCATGCCCCTAACAAATTGTCCCGTATTAAAAAAATAACAAATTGTCCCGTATTAAAAAAATAATTATAGATGAGACAAACAAAAAGTGACGGAGCGAGTAAACCCGCACATCCTCGAATTCAACGCCACCACCAAAATTAAAAACAATATATCAATCAGAAAAAAAAAAAAAAAAAAAAAAAAACCAAATAGTAAGAAAACTCACAGCATTGCGAAGCTCAGTACCAAGTTGTTGAATAACAAGGGCGAAACTTCTAGAAACCTTATGAAGCATAGAATAGCAAAAACCCCAATGAGGTTCAGGTGGGATCTGCCTTTCAGCCTCTTTGACCGCCATTTTCAACTTCAAAAGTGGGTAAAATTCATCTGGGTGTTTCAAAATCGCACCTAAACTCCCCATTTTTGATCAATTTGAAAAATGGGTATTGCTCAAAATCTGGGATTTTGATGCAATTTATGCAATAATGCTTGATTTTGAGAGGGGTTGAAAATGAAATTGTATATATGTGGCGTAAGAATAATCCGAGGAAATCAATTTGAGATTTTGTAATTCGTAAAATTGATTTTGTAATCCGTAAATGAATACTACAAATTTAGTTATTTAATTGAGTGGAGATGTAAAAATTGTGGGGTTTTTAAAGAAGAAAATAGAGTTGGTGGGACCTTAAATGTGAATTATTTAACTATTTAAGTGATAAAATGTGAGTTGTTTTTTTGGGTTTGAGAGTCTGTTTTGTTTGGAGTGAGAACGTGGAACGCGAGCTCGTGGGAGATCTGGAATGTTAATTTTTTAAGGCCCAAAGTCTCAAACCAACTTATAAAAGAAAAAGGATCTTGATGGCAAGCGCTCCGCAGCATTAGATAACTACTATTTAATATATTACTTAAAATAGTATTAAATTCGAAATATATGATGAAATCACACGTCGATCGGTATAATTAATGATAATTTTACTTGAATATTTCCACTTTTAGTTCTCTTATCCGTCGTATAGGGGCGCTCGTTAGTTTTTGCCAAAGAAAAATACTCCAAATTATAAAATTTGATATAAAATCTAAACAATACTTGTGGTTTTAAGGGAGATCTCTCCTTATGTATGTAGTACTTTAAGATGTTTTGGCTATAATTAATTAATTTATCTTGATCAGTGTTTTCCTTTTAAAAAAATGGTTATGAGTTTATAGTGAAATCTTTGGGTATATTTTGTGGAGCCTTATGGAATATTATGAATATATTCAGGTCGTGGTCTGTTGGGGGCGTGTTCCGTAAGATAGTTATGGAGGTAGCTGTTAGTTGTACAAGTCATTGTTAGCTGTCAAAAGGTTATTAGATGTGAAATTAGACAATTACAGTACTCAATCGATAAGTGATTATTGACTAGATGTTACATATAAAAACTATAAAGTAATTTATTTTTTCCTACAAGTGTAGATTGAACTATCAATTGCTCTATATTAAAATATGTATTCCCTTGGAAATCATTTCTTTATTTTTTTTTTTTTTTTTGGTCAAACCAAATTTAGCTTTATGTATTTTACGATCATGGCCCTAACTTGGCAAATTCCAAGCTATTCAATTTAGGTCAACCCATCAAGCATAGTCTTAAGTCTAAAACGCAAGTATACAAGTACTACAGCTCATCTGCTTTAGATGTATGGTTGTATACTTGTATCCGGCTTGCATGCAACATGAGGATAGACGCGATTAATTAAAAAAAAAAAATTTAAAAAAAAAAAAAGGGTCATAAAAGGTGAAAGTGAATATAAAAATCACGTGAAATCAACAATACTTGTGTAAATATTGAAAATGTCAATAAGGATACATTTGGTGTATGCTCTATAAAATAGTAATAGGAAAACAATATACTCTGTAGCAATTGTAATATTTAAAGACCTAAAGGAACAAAATTTAATGAACGAAAGGTCGGAAGGATTTATTATACTAAAAAAAAGTTCCTAAAAATATATATCACCATATGTATCAAAGTTGGAAAGCGTCCTAATTTATTTGTCCACGAGTGGAAAGAACTAATAAAAATGAAGTAATTTTTTTTTTTATTTTTTTTTTTGAAGGGAAAATGAAGTAATTTATAAACATGTAAGTGGGATACAATTTAAAAGGGTTGAAAAATTTGTTTCTTGATGGTGTCAAAAAACGAAATCTCATAAGCAGCTTCAATGGAGGATAGAGAGCTTCAAGCAACTTCATTGGAGACTGATTCCAACAACCAACTACGAAACCCCAAGGAAAAAATGGAAAATAAAGAGCATGGTTAACCAAAAAGACCAAAGGGTAGAATTTGTCGTCCTCTTTTATTGAAGACGCTCGTGAGTTTTTGATTTCTCCATTGAAACTACTCGTTTCTTTTTTTGTTTTTTTGATAAAGAGAGAAAAGAAGAGTAACTCCAACCTGACTTGACACTACATGAAATACATTGAAAATTAGCAAAGACGATCTAACTTTTCTAAGAACATTTCTATCATGATGACATTCTTATTCCTTTCCTTTTAGCACATTTGCTAACAAGTGGTTGCTAAGGTTGATGTGAAAGTGGTATTTTCACTTTCTCTATTGAAGGATGACCTTCAAATATATATACTCCCTCTGTCCCTATTATTTTGTCCCATTTGACTGTGCGCGGTCTTCAAGACGCGTTTTAAAACGTCTATATCTTTATTTTCATATACGTAAAAATTATAAAAACATGATATTAATAAAATATACAATGAGACGAATTTAACAAGATCACGCATGACTATATTATCTTTTATAGATTAACGGTAAATTATGGTCAAAGTTTTCAAAGTTTGACCCGAAAAATGGCAATGGGGCAAAAATAAAGGGACAGAGGGAATATATATTAAAACTCAATGGCAAAACATGAGCCTGCCATATGTCACTTTTACTAGGAAAATGATGTGGCGCCATGTCATACTATTGAAGATTTAAGTTTAATTTTATACATGTAAATTTAGCAACAATCTATAATAACAAAAATTAATCTCACTTCTTTTATTTGCTTATACGTAAAACCTATATATGTAACCCAAATTATGTATTGAGCTTTTTAAGCTAATGTTTTTTATTTTTTATTTTTTTTTTGAAGTAAATTAAAAAAAAATTAGGATACTAGGTATTGGATAATATATTTGATGTTCAATAATGATTGGAAAAATATATTTTAAATAGTACGAGTACCAAATAAATGTAACTGATTTAATCAATATTTATTATATTTCATCACTTAATTTTTATTATAAAAGCTCATTTTAAATATACATATAATGACTCGGGCATCACCCGGGCCAAAAACTAGTTCTCCAAAGCCAAATAACGTTTAATTGAGAAACTCTATTAAGTGATAAAACTAAGGCATATGGCAAATTACAACTCTACCCACATACTAAAACTGAATGAGAAAAAAGAAAAAAAAAAAAAAAAACCCCAAAAAATAAACATACACTTACTCTCAAAGTAGATCATGACCCAAAAATAGAGGTGATTAATATAGGTCCGACCCGATTTTGGAGTATTGAATCAACTAAACTTCAATGCTCCAAACATAGCAAATTCCAAACAAATGGCACATGCATTATGCATTATGCAACTTGTACATCCTCACTTGCTTAGCTCCACAAAATTTGATTTCTTCTTCTCACGTACTTCAGTTACATACTTGCATGATTTCATTTATCACCATTCAATTATTTATTAATTTATTTATTTTCCTATATTTTTTCAAATTTTCCTCCAATTCTATACTATCAGCAATAAACCAGCCAAAATGCAATTCAAAGCCATAATTTCCCCTTCTCCTAACATCCGAATCAAAATTCCCATAATCAAACAATTTTCACTCTCCTCCAATTTGCGGCACCCTAAAATCCCACTTAAGCCCTTCAATTTATGCTTTCCTGAATCCCATCAAATTCCCAGAAATTTGCAAAAAGTTGGTTGTATTAGTCCTAGCCAAGAATTTCTGGGTGAAAATCTTCAAACCCACGAACCAGAATCCGAGATTAACCCAGAAATTCTTAACCTTCAACCTTCAAAACCCACAAATGTAGCTGAAGAATTTGCTAATCAAAGTACATGGGATCAAATAATTGAGATTGTTAAGTTTTCTGGTCCTGCTACTGGGCTTTGGATTTGTGGGCCTTTGATGAGTCTCATTGATACTGCTGTTATTGGCCAAGGCAGCTCTATTGAGCTTGCTGCGTTAGGTAATTTTGATTTTTTTTTTTTTTTTTTTTTTTTTGAGTTTATTAAATTATGATTATGATTATAATATAATGGTGATTGAATATATATGTTAAATGGGCAGGTCCAGCAACTGTGCTATGTGATTATGTTGGATATGTGTTTATGTTTCTTTCAGTTGCAACTTCCAATATGGTTGCTACTTCACTAGCTCAAAAGGTAATTGCTTTACCATCTTATAATTCTTCCTGTTACGTACTTACCAAATTGTAATAGTTTGTCATTGATTAATAATGTATCAAATGTTGAATAGGCAGGTTTAGCAACTGTGATATATATGTGATTATGTGGTGTTATTAAGGAATGAGATATTGTAAATCTTAACATTTGGTAGCCGATCATAAATAGTAGTAGTAATTGAGTATGAATTTAAGTGTAATATGACAAGCTAAGTAACATCTTAATGTCCATAGTAACGCTATCTCATCCCCAGCCTTTTGTTTTTCTGTAAGGAAATGTTTAGTATCTCTAATACCACCCCCAAGTGGTAATATATGGTAAAGAAATAGGTGAAGAAAGATAATTGGGGTGATCTAGCATTACTGCGGGAATGAAAATTGATTTTACTGACAAGTTTATACTAGTGATCAAATGGCCATACGGGCTTCAAGTATTTTAAGATTTTGAAAGATCAAAACTGTTGCAGTATTGGTATTCTTATTAATATTGGTCAGGCCTATATCCACTGCAAGTGTACGGGTCAATTACCCTAAATATAGGGTAAGCAGGTATCGTATCCACAAGGAGGACTAAACAATTACCAAGTTAAGAAACTAAAATATTATTTAGACGATGAAAAATAGGAGAAAAGTACTACTAAACTATAATAAACGATAAGAGTTGTAAACTAATAAAAACGACAGAGAAGAATGAGAAATAGTTTTAGGTTTCGGGTTTCGCCAATTACTCTCTATAATGAAATCTTTTATTTAATTGCAGAGTCATTTAACCACAGCCCTTCAAAAGCTAAATTCTCAAATCTCATGCATTTTAGTTTTTTTTTTTTAAATATAACCTCCCATTAAATAACTTTCACTTCTCCACATTTTTTTATAACTTTCACATCTCCTTTTTTTTTTTTTTTTTTTTTTTTTTTTTTTAAATCTCCTATTGTTTTTCTTTCTAAATATACGTACTATGTATATACCGTGCATTAGTATGAATACACTATAATTAAACTAATTACAGGGTTGAATAAATATAATATAACAATGATCGAATTACCAATAGTAGTTATCTCCTCTACCAAGGTAGAAAACGTATATTTAAATTAACCTCATGTCTACTCCCGTGATCAGAACAATTGAAATAAAGTCATTAAGAACAAGAATTTAATAAAGACCACCCCAAGTGTATAACTAATCATAAAATTATACTAATTGACGTTTGATAATCCGACGAACTAGTATTGAAAGTTCACTCCCGCTAATAATCCAATACCTTAAACATACAATCAATTAGCCAGATTAATCATACGAAATAAAATAAGATTATCAAATTGCAATTATATAAATCAAAACCAAACAAATAATTCAATTCATTGATAGATAATAATAGACTACATCCCCAACCTAGAACAAAGAAATCTAGCCAAACATCACAATTAAGAAAACACAATCACTAATAATTAACATTGTCAATTGCATAAAACTTAAATAGAGAAGAGTAACTCCAATGTCAGTAGTTGGCCGCTGCTCAAGGCTTGGTTCCACCTCTCGTGCTGCTGTTCTTCTCCCGTGATGCTGTGCATCCTCCTCTGCGTTGCGTGGCTGCCTTATACTAGTAGATTATGTGAGGGTTTCTTCTTTGTGGTTTCGTATTGCTGCCTCCTCTAATCTTTTTGGGGTTTTTAGAGTTAGTGGGTTTTCAACCCACTTCCACTCTTTTGGTGAAATGTAGCTCGTGGAAATTGTAGTGGGCTTTTCTTGTTTTTTTTTTTTTCTTCTTTTCTTATAATTTCTTCTTTGTCATTTGCAATCAAACTGTGAGCAATAAGAAAAATGGGATTTTAGTATTGCTTTTCAAAATAAGTCATAGTAATAGAATATTAGAGCATGATTAACTAAAACTAATCAATTAAGCTTAACAAAGAAAATTTCATAATTAGACATTAAAATCTATGTAAACACATAATTTGTACTCTAAAATAGCATAAAAATGATATAATAAAGTATATAAAATATGAACTTATCAAATATCAATGACCACTTAAGTTTTAGTTACTCGAGAATGAAATTTATCAATTTGATATTTTCGGATAAATTTTTATTTGTCATGTTGATGATTGTTAAATGTCAACTACTCAAACATACACATGCCATACTTTATATCAATGTTGGCGAGAATTTGAACTATCTGTGAACAACAATGACTATCTATTCAGACTGTAATCTGCATATAGTGTAACTCGTAATTGCTGTTCAATATTGCACACAAGATCATGATCACTTGCATGTAACTGAAACAGAACGAGGATCAAGTGCAGCATCAGATATCCATGTTACTATTCATAAGTTTGGCAAGTGGAGTGCTGTTGTTTTTACTGACGAAAGGATTCGGTGAATGGGCTTTAACTGGTAATTGAAACTGGTACAGGCACTTCGTTGCCACCACGTATCAACTTCTCATGAAAGTACCTTATTTTCTGTCTTGATTTTGATTTTCGCTGTTGAGAAGATTGTGCTAGTTAACCGTCCCCTGAATGCCACCATTTCATTTGTCATGTTTCTGTGTTTTCTTTCAGCTTTTGTGGGAGCGAAAAATATGAATCTTGTATCTGCTGCGAATTCGTATTTACAGGTTTGTCTGATTTTGATATGTGTTCTTTCTGTTTTACTCTGCTGAGGAATGAGAGGATTTTGTGCATGTATGATGTGCAATGTTCATCTTAATAGGAGCTTTGTCAGAACTCTCAGAAGTACTAGTGAATTTCACTGTGCTTATAGTGCTATAATACTCCCAAATAAGTTATGGTATATACGAAGTATATGACATATCTTAAGTAGTTTGTAGAAAATTTGTGCATTCCTAATTTGAATATAATCCCTTCTTTCTCACCTTACATTTATCAAATGTTTTATAGACTGGGAATGGGAAAAACTGGAGACCCTTCATGATGAGTTATAATGTCTTCTCTTTGCACTAAATGATTATTTTGATCTTTCTATAAGTTGCTGACAATCATGCTTTGCAAAATTAAAATTGAATAAGTTTCACTACCATTGTAGTAGCTTGTTTTTCTAACTCATAAATGCACAATAAGGAGGCAAGTGAACTCTTGGTCTATTTAATGTTTTTCAATATTTTGTTCTTTCAAGTAACCGTACACTCAAATCTTTCTTTCTTTTCTTTTCTTTTTATTTTTTCCTCCCTACACCATAGTTTTCTGGTGCATAAGATTCCATCAGCTTATTTGCTGTACTCTTGTAGCTAATTTCGTTTTTTCATGGGTTGATAGCTTCGTGCCTTAGCATGGCCTGCCATTCTTGTTGGCTATGTCACTCAGAGTGCCAGGTAAAACACACTGCATATATACCTTATATAATCGGTTGCGTTTAGCACCTGGCCTACAAAAATACGCAATTGGAATTTATTGTTTTAAGTATGTCAGTATTTTCTTGTTTATCTACAAAAAGCCTCAATTTTTGCGAGGAGGGCTTCCTAATGTTTATTTTTCTTACCTTCAAAAAAAACACTAATGTATTGATGTCCTGCCTCTAATTTCCAGTCTAGGCATGAAAGATTCCCTGGGACCATTGAAGGCATTGCTCATTGCCACTGCTCTCAGTGGAATTGGTGATATAGTACTCTGTGTCTTCTTAAATTATGGAATAGCTGGTGTAGCGTTGGCAACTGCAGCATCACAAGTGTGTTAATTGGATATAATATCTGTTTATATATCAATTTTCAGCGAATTCAATCGTTTCATTATTCCATTGTCTAAATGTTTGTATTCACCATTTTTTTAAGGAAATTTTGATTTTTACCACCTTCAAATAACCACTTAATTGAATTTACCACCTCCAAAAAAAAAAAGATTTACTTTACCACCACCAAAATTTCCAAAAAATCGATTTTACCACCAACTACCAGATTCCGTCCATGAATCCGTTAGTAGGGCCCACATTTTTGACGTTTCTTCTTCATCTTCCCCGATCTTCCATGTCAACCAACCAGCAACGAAATCAACTACCTCGGTTGGTCGGAATTTCGTGTGGGTTTCGCGTCTGGGTGGTGGTGGTTTCGAGTCGCGATGGTTTCGCGTCTGGCTGGCGTGGTTTCTGGTGGGTGGTGGTGGTTTTGAGTCGGGGTGGTTTCGCGTCTGGGTGGCGGTTGTTTCTGGTCTGGGTTTGGGTGGTGGTGGTTTTGAGTCGGGGTGGTTTCGCGTCTGGGTGGCGGTTGTTTCTGGTATGGGTTTGGATGGTGGTGGGGTTGGTCGTAGCTGTTAGGTGGTGGCTAGGGTTTTGAGGTCGGAAATTGGTGGAAAGGGGTAGAAATCGGTGCGGCTGTGGTGTGCGGTGCGGTGGTAGCGATTAGGTGGTGGGTTGGTCGTAGCTATTAGGTGTTGACTAGGGTTTTGAGGTCGGAAATTGGTGGAAAGGGGGTCGAAATCGGCGCGGCTGTGGTGTGCGGTGCGGTGGTAGCGGTTAGGTGGTGGGGTTGGTCGTAGCTGTTAGGTGGTGGCTAGGGTTTTGAAGTCGAAATCGGTGCGGTGGCTGTGGGTCTCGACGGTGGCTGGTAGCGGTTAGGTGGTGGGGGCTGGTTGTAACGGTTAGGTGGTGGGGCTGGTCGTAGCCGGTCCGGCGGTGGGGGTCTCGACGGTGGCAGCAACCATCGGTTGCTTGATGGGGATTTTTTATTTTTTATTTTGTTTTTTTTTATTTATTTTTTTAAAACTTAACCAATAATATGGCGACACGTGTGCAAGGTAGGCCCCACTAACGGATTTTTGGACGGAATCCGTTAGTTGGAGGTGATTGGTGGTAAAACTGATGTTTAATTTTTTTATGAGGTGGTAAAGTAAATGTTTTTTTTTTGAAGGTGGTAAATTCGACAAAGTCGTTATTTGAAGGTGGTAAAAATCCCTTTTTTTAATCATGGGATAAATCTTTCAGATTGTTGCAGCTAATGTGATGATTGATGCTTTGAATAAAAAAGGATACAATGGGTATTCCTTTTCAGTTCCATCACTTGCTGAATTGCAAGAAATAGTTGGGATAGCTGCCCCCATCTTTGTAACCATGTTTTCAAAGGTTTACCAGTATAGTAACTTCACATTTGATCACATCATTTTTTTTATTCCAAATTAATTTATGTAGAAGCTATCCTATTTTGTAACAGGTGGCCTTATATGGTCTACTTATTTATTTTGCTACGTCTATAGGTACGCATGTAGTGGCTGCTCATCAGGTGAGTTAAACCTGCCTAATGTCCAGTGATTTTCAATTCTAATTTTAATTGCAGACTCCTACCAAACAGGTTATATGTATTCAACTGACTGCTGTGTAGGTTTTGCTTAATATATTTGGCATGTGTTCAGTATGGGGTGAGCCCCTTTCTCAAACTGCACAATCATTTATGCCCGAGCTACTTTATGGAGCCAACCGAAGTTTAAAAGGTAAAAATCCTCCGGTTGTTTGTCAATAGCTTTAATGAAACACTTATCAACTCACGTGTTGAAGAGAGGGATGAGAATGTACACCCATGTGATGAGAACAGAAGGAATGTTAACCTTTTTAAAAATTTGACTGAAAAGGAAAGTGTGAGATATTGGAAAATATACAGAGTGCCTTATTTGTTGGTATACCTTTAAAATCAATACATTATATGCACTACTGCAGTAGGTACAGTCAAAATCTCGAAGATATATTCCTTATTTCCATTTAAGGTTTTAATGATATCTTAACTTCATGTAGCTTGTTTTTACAAACAGGCGAGATCTCTATTGAAGTCTCTTTTGATAATAGGAGCGTCTATTGGACTTCTTCTAGGAACTGCCGCAACTTCTGTCCCTTTTGTTGTTCCTAATTTCTTCACATCTGATACAGTAGTGATAGGAGAGGTTGGTTGAATTTGTTACAATCTTCGCCCATTCAGTAGGTTGGTTGAATTTGTTACAATCTTCGCCCATTCAGTATCTAGGTGTCTTAAGGTTTTGAACTATGCCTACTTCCATTGGAGTAACGGAAGTTGTTTATGTATGCAGATGCACAATGTTTGGATTTGCTTCTTCCTTGCTTTAAGTGTGACTCCTTGTATACTCCCCAGTGAGGGTACATTGCTGGTAATAAAATCCAACTTGCTTCCTTGTTTTATTGAATATTTATCTATTTCATTGCTATGAATATAGGTTTCCACTTGTAGTGCATATATGCACTTTCAACTCCGGAAATCTATAATGATAGACCCAAACCCAACTCTGCTGACCCATTTGACACATGCTGCTTCATTGGCGCTTTGTATTTAATTTTTGTAACTATAGATATGATGATCAAGGAGGTACCTTTTTTTTCGTGTGCAGGCTGGCAGGGATCTCAAATTCATTAGTATATCAATGAGTGGATGTTTCGCTTTGGGCGCACTTGTATTACTGGTATCTTGTTGATCTTCTTTAGCATTGCAAATATCATACAATCACAAAATTTGTTATCCTCTTCTCGAGTGAAATTGATGCATATTCCTGCCTTTGTTTATAATTTGACAGCTAGTGAGAAGTCAAGTAGGTTTAGTAGGTTGTTGGAGTGCCCTTGTTGGATTTCAATGGGTACCTTTCTCTTCTCAAGTTTGTTATGGAGTAACTCATATTTGTGCAGAGCAATTTATTAGGCATATTCTGATCAATTTTCTCTGATACAATACACAGGCACGCTTCTTGATTTCTCTAAGACGCCTTCTTTCTCCTAATGGTGTATTATTCTCAGAGGATCTTGACCATTTCAAATTGGGCGAGCTTAAGGTAGCTTAGGTAAAGATTCAACAAACACCTTCAGAAAATTCTTTTCATTGGTTAAACTACCTTCAGCAAATTCGAGTAAGAATAAATTTGATGTATCAGGGTATGTACAATCATAAAAATTATTCCATAGTTGTTCTTTGCAAGAATTGCAACTGTATCCTCTGATACTTCTAACATTAGAGTTTCAGAGATAGAAGTATATATATAGCTTAAGGTGAAATGTAATTAAATATCATAATCCATATTTTTGGGAAACTTTGCAGAAAATCACCCTCTACCCCATGATTCATTGTGTTATGTTGGATCTCTTGTCAACTTGTAAACACAACCTTGAAACATCAAACTGATACAAAAACGGAGTGATTTGGCACAAACTAATGAAACAAACCAACACAAGTTTTAGCAAAAATGGCAACAAAAGAAGCTCATTTCAATCCTAAAAAACTCAAGTGTTCAACCTTTGCAAGAAGAGAAAGCAGGTAAATAGTTGCAAAATCATGAGCAAAAAATAACACATAAACTATGGTTTCTGTTTCGGGGTTTCCTGATGTCCTGCGGGAGAGTTACAATTCCGAGACTGGAACCGGACGCCTGTACCTGCAAAATAACGGAGACTCCTGAGAGCTCCGCCTCCAACGGTCAAGTTAGTACCTGATTAAGGAGTAATTAATACGGAAATTAAAGTAATAAGGTCTCTCTAGGTGAGAGTGCTTAGTGCTGGTAATCTGCTTTGTTAGCGAGATCAGCCGGTTATTACTGTGTGTAATCAATGTATTTTTTGTAATCTTCTCTCTCTTTCTGTCTTGTCTCTGCCTCTTAATGAGGATTAAGAGGAGTATTTATAGTCTTGAGAAGCGTGCCACTCTCTAGGTTTAGGGTAAACCTAGGGCTGACCGGGCTTCTAAACAGGATTGGGCCTTGGTGGCCGGTTTTCCCATTTGGCATGGGTGGACACATGGCGTGTCTCAATTGGTCCGCAGAGGACGTATCTGTGATTGACACGTGGCAGGCTCCTATTGGCCTACGTGAAGGACACATGGCGGAACCTGGTTGGTCCACTTGTCAGACGGTGATTGGAGGATAAAAATCCCCTAATCATTTGCCCCTCACAGGTGGCACGTGACTGGTCTCGTGTCGCCTGTGACAGGTGTCGCATGGTGACAGGCGACGGCCTGCTACAGGTGTCACCTTGCAAACGGCCGAGAGATTTTCCCGCCCATATTTTGAATTTGGAAGCGACCCTTCGCCTTCTCACTTTGCCTATATAAGGAAGTGCTGACTTCGGTCATTTTCACATTTGAGAACTTTGCGAGAACATTCGGACCCCTGAACTTGCTCTGACATTTCGGACATTTTCTGCCTACCGCCTGTTCTGACAAGCCGACTGACCCGGATTTCCAGAACTTCATCAACCGTCACTCGTTCAGGTAACTCAGTTCTCTTACTCTTAATTTTCTTTTTATTTTTTGAAATGGCACCACGGAAGCACACGACACGACCTAAGTTAGTGATCAGCCGGTCACCGGGGACGGCTGAATCTAGGACTAGGAGTGCCGCCTGCCCTTTTCTGGACCCATCTTTGCCCTTTATACAAAGTCCGACTGTATCTGTGTCTATGCAGAACGTGATGGCCAGAACCAAAAAGACTGCCATGATATCAAACTCAAACGGCTCCTCCCAAAGGGTGCTCCTTAGTGAAACATCTGACCAGGCGCCAGATGTAGAATTGAAACGAGGCGGCTGCCAAGCCGACAGTTCTGAGAGAGGGGCCAAGGTGGTCCCTTTCCATCTTACCGTTGATATGTCTAATTTTCCTCCTGCTCCTTCTAGGGGAGAGGAGGCGGGCCCCTCTGGGAGAGGGGAGGAGTCGTCCTCTTCGGACTCGTCAGGGGACGAGTCCGAGTCCAGCTCTTCTGGCCACAGTTCTCCAGGCTCAGAAGAAAGAAACAGTCGCCTACAAGAGGCGAGGCTTTCTCATGCAGTTGAGAAAGGGGACAATTGGGCGGAGCCGTCCGCCTCTTACAGAGAGGAAAACGCCCCCTACTACTGCAAGGTACCCCGGGGCCGGATCGCAACCATGCAAGACAACGTGGCGAGCTTTATTGCCAACCACAGAATGGGCCCGGAATTTTTACTGTTCGTGCCGGACCCAGAAGACACTGTCGTCTGGCCGGCTGGTACCAGCTATGATGACGGCTGCTTTGGCTGCTATGTGGCGGCCATCAAAGCTGGACTGCGCTTCCCATTACATCCGGCTGTTCAGCGGATTTTAGATGGGTATGATTTGGGGTTATGGCAGTTAGCCCCCAACTCTTGGGTAAACGTACTCGGCTATGTGGCCGGGTGCGAAATGTACGGGGTGGAGCCAAGTTTTGAGGCTTTCGCCCACATGAACTATCTCAGCCGGACCCCTAAGTCGGGAGGTACCGGCTGGTATCAATTAACGAGCCATAGGGGTTACCTCATGACGAGAGGTAAAGCGAACAAATGGAAGGATTGGCGGAACACCTTCCTTATCATAGAGGGTTCAGACACGGAGCTGAACCAACGTTTTAACAAGTGGAATAGGGATCCGCCTCTCCTCGCAGGCGGCCGCAGCATGCCGCCTGTTCCCCCAAAGGCTAAAAGAGAGATCCTAGACAAAGGACTCTTCAAAGTAGAGACTAGGGTGAACTCTACTTCAGGGGTACGAGAGCAAGTACCCCTAAACTGCGTCCCGAGCTTCAAGTGGCTCTATGACGAGTACTTTTTGGCCGCCTGTGGCCTCAGCAGTCGGTGCTCTAGAGGTAGCCGGCCTGACAATTACTCTGTTTTTTCACGCCTTGTTTACTTGGGATTTTTACTAACTTTGCTGTTTATTTCTTGCAGCTGACGCCATGAGTAAAATAACAGCATCCAAGACAGCGGCGGCCATGTTGCGGGCCTCGCTCATGAAACAGTCTTATGCCGACTCCCCCAACAAGGGGGCACCCTTGGTAAGCTTCGAAAACTCTTCCTCTTTTAGTTGTGTTATGCATATACTAACTCTTTTTGTTTTCAGTCTGGCACTCCAAGGGCTTCTTCCTCGCAACAGCCGGACCCCAAGGCCCGGAGGACGACTGTTGCAAGCTCTCCTGGGTCTTCCAGGAAAACGGTGGCGGCTGAGAAGCAGCCGGCCACTTCTTCAAAAACCCCGGCGGGGCTGCCTAGTAGTATGGACCCTCACTTGTAAACACTCACTCTTGCTTCCTTCTTGACTAGGTCTAAATTGTTTTTCCTTTCGCTTAATGCAGCCGGCCCTCAGGGGCTTGACTTGGTTGAGGTAGCCAAGTCCATGGTTAAAGTAGTTCCTCCATCTGACAGGGAGGCGGTCAGGGGTGCCGGCACCCTTGACCTTGATGGGATTTCAGGGATCCTTGCTGAGGTATACTTAGCATATTTTTGAGTTTTTGAGTTCCAGGACGCCTGTTATCTTTTTGTTTGGAAGCTGACGCCTGTTTTTCTTTGTACTTAGGCCCTGCTCCGAGTCAACAGCCTTCGCAAGCCGATTGATCGGAAAAACAAAGAGGTAAAGGCCGCAAAAGCTATGGCCGCCTCCAGCTGTGATAAGGCAATGTTTCAAATTGCCCAAAATGAAGTACTGACCATTGATCTTCTTTATTATCAGGCGCAGGCTACCGCCGCTGTTCGGGCTCAGTTAGAGGCGGCCCAAAAGAAGGTTGACGAGCTGGAGGCGACCGTCACAAACCTTAAGGCCGAGCTGAAGCCTCTTCGCCAAAAAATGCACTCTTACGAAGCCATGGAGAAATCTTTGGCCAACGTAAAAGAACGCCTGGTGAACCAAGAGAAGAGTCTTACCCAAGAGCTCTCGGAAAAGGCCGAGCAAGAGAAGAAAGAGCTCGTCCGGGAGATGGTGGAAGACTCCGCTCAAATCCAGCGCATGACCTGGGAACGACTGTTCCCCAGTGCCGACTTTGCCTCCTGGGAAAGAACGTACCGCCAGTGTTCGGAAACATATAATCAACAGATCCTGGCGGCTGCTGAAGACGAGGCATTGGAAGGTGCGTTGGAGGAGGAAGAGCCGGTTGTGGCGCTTGTGCCACTTGGGGGTAAGGCATCAAAAGAGGGTGCAGCTAAAGCCGAGTCCAGCAAGAAGAGTGCTGACCAGGCGGCAGCTGCTGATACTGAACTGCCCCCTTCTTAAGCTTTAAGTATTTTTTCCACGGCCTGCGTGCCGTTTGCTTTGTAATTACCCGGCCAGGGGGCCGGGGTTTTGAATATTCTGCTGGTCCTTAATGACCGGCTCATTTTTAATCAAATTTTTGTTTTGGTTCAAATTTGTCTAAGTATTCCATATCTAATATCCCTTTGTTCACAAGACCGACTGTTGTGTATGGCCGAACGTTAAGACAGGTACAAATAGTAAGTACGCCGCCTATGCCCCTGGACGACTGGTTGTCTGTTTCCAGGATAGACGATCAGTCGGCCACTTAATCAATCGGTATTCGAACTATTTATTCAATTGGTCTGACCAAGTAAATAGTATTACCTAGTCGTCAATGAATTAAGTAGGATAACAAGCGGCGGGCGCCGGTTGTTTCCCTTTATAGCCAATGTTGGCTTTTAACTCGTAATTTGTTAACCTAGCAAGAGTAGTGGTTGAGTGCCCCTGATTGTTAAAAGCAGGCGGACGACTCATACCTTTTAGGCTCCATACTAAGTTTGAGTGACTATTAATTTAACATAAGAGTTACTTAGTTTTCGTCACAATCTAGATTGAGTAGTAGAGGTACCAGGCGACGGGGGCCGGCTGATCCTCTTGATGTGCCAATGTTTGTTGGCTATTAACTCAATAGGTTACCTAGTAGGAATGGGGTTTGAGTGCCCTTGTTTGTTTAAAACAGGCGGACGACTCAAACTATTTAGGTTCCATACCAAGTTTGAAGGAGTGACTATGAGTTAACGTTGGAGTTACTCAGTCGCCGCCACTTATGTTTGAGAAGTAGAGGTACCAGGCAGCGTAGGCCGGCTAGTCCCCTTGATTCGCCAATGTTTGTTGGCTATTAACTCAATAGGTACCCCCTGCATTTATCCCAAGTAATACAGGCGGTTATCTGACTCAGATGTCAACTGCTACCACTGGTTTGGTTAGTGATAGAGTTATCCTTGTCTCAAAAACGGCTACGTGGTTGCCCTTGGGGACAGTCGTATAGGTGCCGTGTAGTTAGTTTATAGAACAATGTTCCACCCAAAAGGGAGCTGCTCTCTGCGACGAATTTCATCCGGAGGGATGCCGTCGGACGCCT